CACACACACACACACACACACACCTTGTTTCACTCCTATATAATAATATACAACAGAAGTGCTGCGTGTATTATTTATAACCAGTTCAAGGTGCATCGGAGTGCTTTAAAAAAAAGTACCAGAGTTCTTCCTTCGTAGACCTGTCCCCGTGGTTTTATGCACCCCGCATAATTCATCAAAACTTGTTCATTTTTTGGCAGAATTTCTGATTATTTTCCTTCATCAGTCTTTGTTAAAATTAATTAACCTCTTAAGAGAATCGCACAATTTCTCATTGTTGGGCGTAATTTCATAATTTTAATTGCTTAAAACCACTGGGACAGGAAGTGACAGAAAATCACAGTTTTTCTCAGAAGCATAATTATATTATAATTATTTATAGGATGCTTTCAGCAGTGAAGGTTAAGAATTCACAGCATCACAATTATAGCTCGGGGGGTCCTCGTGCCTAGAGGTTGAGGTGTTGGCCTCTCATTCAAAGGTCCCGAGTTCGAATCTGGGAAGCAACCGAACAATTTTCTTCTCTAAAATTGTCTCCTTTCCCCTCCTATTCTGCTCTCTAGCAATGTTCTGTCGTCTGGTTTCGTCTCCTTTTTCTGCCCCCACCCCCTCTCATTCTTTGCCCCCTCCTCAGGGCCCCTGACTCTTTCTGCAGCCTTTTGTATACTGTTACTTCTTGGCTCCTTCTAACTGCTGTCTTTCTGCCACACCCCTGTTCTTCTGGTAGGAAAGGTCTACACCTAGCTTTCTCGGACTTGGGCGAAAAATCTCGGAGGTCCCGTGTGCAAGTTGCGCACGTTTAAGTTCGCTTGGTGGTCCAAAATCGATAAAAGTAGGCCGCCGCCCGGGCAGAATTCAAAATTTCCTATCAACTGAAAATGTTTAATGTGTCCCGTGCGCTCATATGACCTTATGCTGTAGCGAGCGTTGTTGTTGCTATCGCCGTCCTCGTTATTGTTGTTTTTGTTGATGTTGTTGTTATTATTTTCTTTTATCATCTTGGTCATCATCATTTTCATCATCGTCATCATCACCATCATCATCATCATCATCATCATCATCATCATCATCATCATCATCATCATCA